CCTGTGGCACAGGGCTGCAGCATCCCATGGGCCTGCGGCTGGCGAGGTGTGGGTCTTGCGTGAGCCCGCCCCAGATGTGCAAGCAGGACAAGACAAGAGCTGTGTGTGGGGGACTGGCATCCCATGGGCCGGCTGCTGGCAGGGCACACATCCTGTGCCCAGGACTCAGCCTCTGTGAGCTGGCTGCCGACTGTGCAAGCGAGAGAAAGGAAAAAGAGCATCCAAGCAGGGCCTGGTGCCTGCTGGGTCCTGAGAATACTTTGCACCCCATCCCAGCCAGGGGCAACGGGTGAAGAAGTCAGAGCTTTGCACACCCATCATTTTAAATCTTTCCTCCAAATTCCTATGTGCTGTTGGAGGGTCCAATTCATCATTCAATTTGGGCCAACATCCACAGTGAGCGTCAGCCCACATTGTGTCCCTGCCCCTCCTGCAGCTGCTGTGATCTGGAAGCAGGTGGGAAGGTTTTCTAGCCAATGCAGGGCACCGTGTTTCTCCCCAGGGTGGGGCCTCACCTGGTTACATGTGTGTTGTGACCTTTTCAACCCCCACAGTATACACAGGCTCTGCGCAAGTGGTGTCATGAGCTGCATACAACGACTAATCTTTTTACCGTTTTCATGGTTTCGCCTTTTCCAGAATGTTGTTTAGTTGGACTCACACAGCATGTAACCTTTTCAGATTGGCTTCTTTTCACTCTTTTAAAAGATTTTATTGATTTATTTTTAGAGAAAGGGGAAGGGAGGGAGAAAGAGAGCTGGAGAGAAACATCAATAGGAAAGAGAAACATCAATCGGTTGCCTCTCAAATGCACCCCAGCTGGGAACTGAACCCACAACCCAGTTCCCAGTGCCCTTCTGGGGAATTGACATGGCTATCTTTTTCTTTGCGGGATGACATCCAACCAACTGAGCCACACCAGTCAGGACCTTTTCACTATTTTTTATTCTAGCCATTCTAATAAGTATATAATGATATCTCACTGTGATTTTAATTTGCAGTTCCCTGATCATTAATGATACTGAAATCTTTTCATGTACTTATTTGCCACCTGTATAGCCTCTTCAGTGGACTATTGCTTGCTTTTTGCTCATACTCTAGAAAGGATTTTTGCTTTTATACCATTGTGGTTTGAGAGTTTTTAAAAATATATTCTAGATCTATCCTTTTGTTGAACGTGTGGTTTGGAAACATAGTTTTCCATTCTGTAGATTGTCTTTTCATTCTCTTCAAAGGGTATTTTGCAGAGCAAATATTTTTAATTTCAGTAAAGCCCAATTTTTGACAATTTTTAAAGAGATTGGGTTTTTGGTGTCAACTACTTATTGAAAAGATGATCCTTACTTCATTGTGTTACATTATATATAATTATACGTAAATTGTAAATAATACATTATAATTAATAAATTTATAATTATATAATGTAGTACCTAGAGCAACCACTTAAGAACTATACAAAGACATGCTAAAAGTACATATTAAACATGTATAATATATATTACATTATACATATATATGAGATCACAGTCTTCATAGAAGTTTGAAAAAAAATTTGCCAAATAGCTAAGTCTGAATAACCATAATTTATCCTTTAATTGTGTTTTTAAAGTAAAAGTTGTGTTCCAGGGAAAAAACAGCTAACTCATCAGCTAACTCAAAAATCTTGGAGGTGTTTTCCTTTGAGACACCTGCTGTACCTCACTGTGCAGCAGAAGCTGCTTCATTAGTACCTCCCATTGTACCGCACAGAATAATAAAAAGATGTGTATTAAAGGGTTGAGAGTTCATGAAGTTAATAATGTGTACAGCTTCACTAAGGACTTTCTCAGGTAGAACTGGCTTTAAATTTATGCACATATTTATTTCAAGTGTGTGAGACAGAAGATTACAGTGACTCTTAGTGCAGTTTGGCACCAGGCCTCGGTTTGTGCTGAGACACCACTGGTTTTACTCACCGTTACTGCCCCCCCTCCCCCGCCCCATTTCGAGATTGTGGTAAAAAACTTAAAACCATAAAACTCACCATTTTAACCATTTTTCAACTGGCAATTAGTACATTTATAATGTTACACAGTCATCACCAATATCTAGTTCCAGAACATTTTCATCACCCCAAAAGACAGTTTTGTGTCCATTAAATACTTATTCCCTTCCTGCTCCCCCCAGTTCCTGCCACCACTAATCTGCCGTCTTTATGGATTTGCCACTTCTGGAAGTTTTGTATAAATTGAATCATAGAGTATGTGACCTTTTGTCACATACTCTATGATTCAAGTGGAAGTGGCCTCTAAGTGGAAGTGGCCTCTTCCACTTAGCGAATATCAGGACATTGTTTCTTTTCACAGATGGATAATATTCCATTGTATAACTATACTGCACTTGGTTTATCCATTCAAAAGTTGATGGACAGTCCTGGCCGGGTGGCTCAGTTGGTTGGATCACTTTTACATACACCAAACGGTAGTGGTTTCAATGCTCAGTCAGGGCATAGTCCATGGTTGCGGGTTTGATCCTCGGTTGGAGCAAGTGTAGGAGGCAAGCGGTCAAAGTTTCTCATTCACACATCGATGTTTCTCTCTCTCTCTCCATTCCTTTCTCTGTAAGGGCAATAACAAACAAACAAACAAACAAACAAACAAAATGTATCATCAGGTGAATATTAAAAAAAACAGTGGATGGACATTTGGGTTGTTTCCACCTTTTGACAGTTATGAACTGTGCTGCTATGAACATATGTATGCAGTTTTTGTTTGACACCTATTTTCAATTCTTTGGGAAAATACCTTGGAGTCGAATTGGGGTAACTCTGTTTAACTTTTTGAGGAACTGTCAAACCACTTTCCATCGCGGCTGCACTATTTTACATTCCACCCACTGTGTATGAGGGTTACAATTTCCCCACGTTCTCACCAATAGTTATTTTCCAGTTTAGGAAATTATAACCATTCTAATGGGTGTGAAGTCATATCTCATCATAGGCTCACAAATACTTTTGTACCAGTTCAAGTTTTAACATTGAAAGAAGAAAATAATATGAATTTTTTTTAGAGTGATGCTTTCTTTTTTTTTTTAAAGATTTTATTTATATTTATTTTTAGAGAGGGAAGGGAGGGAAATAGAGAGAGAGAGAGAGAGAGAAATATCAATGTGCGGTTGCTGGGGGTTATGGCCTGCAACCCAGGAATGTACCCTGGCTGGGAATCGAACCTGGGACACTAATGTGAATTTTTTTTTGTCTCAATGACCCCCCATGAAAGGACCTCAGAGGTTGTCAGGGGTCTCTGGACCATCCTTCGAGAACAGCTGTCCTCACTGAACTTTATGCAGGCAGACTAATCCTGGGTCACTTTACTTTACCCAGCTAGTGACATTTCAGGAGATTTTTCTTGGCTGCTTCCCATTCATAAGGGACAGAGGTGGGATAATGGTTAAAGCTATGAACTTTTGCATCAGATAGACCTGGGTTTGAATTTTGCCTCAGTAAATACTAATTATAGAGTTTGGGGCAGGTTTTCTAACACCTCTGAGCCTCAATTTCCTGAGCTATAAAATGGGACAATTACTACGCCATGGAATTCTTATGAAGTTTAAGAAGATAGTAAGTATAAGTTGTTTGGTAGATAGTGGGCACTCCAGAAATGGTAGCTATAAAGAGTAGATAGTATTACAAGTGTCCTATTGTTTCTTATCTAAACAGGGACAATTTTGAGGGTGAAAAGAGTGCTGGGCAACAGGGTTTACCTGTCCCAGGCACACCTGGGAGTGTGGCCACCCTAATAAAAGAAAGTTATAGGAAATCATTTTAGTGACAGAAGAAAAGTTTTGCCCACAGACTGGGAGTTAAGAGTGTATGCTCTGGATCCCAACTACTTGGGTTTGAATCCCACCACGCACTAGTTGTGGGGCCAGGGACAAGTTACTTCATCTCTCTCCGCCTTAATTTCCTCATGTCTATGCTGAGTAAAAATAGCAGCTCATAGTGCTGTTGCAGGAATTAAATTATATAGTTTATGTGAAGTGCTTAGAATGATGTCTGGCACATTATAAGCATTATGTATTTAAGAGCTGCCATTTTTAGATGAGGGAATGTAAAGGGAGGCTAAGGAAGCAGGAGGAAAAATCTTGCATGATAATGGATTATTTTCAGGGAACTGGTAGAAAGAACAGTTAAAAGTAGCTTTTCATAATGGTCTAATTAGCCAAAGCAATTGTATATGAGCCTTTCCTCACAATACCTGTTCATGGCTGTTTACAGTAAAAATCCTGGTTAAGAAAATTCAGCCCTTCAGCAGCTGATCTTGTTTTCTACTCATGAAGTTGGTGATTTGTGGTGTTGCAAACCTATTGGTCGCTAACAGTGTGGTTCTTGGGTGATGAATACCATTAAATTATGGGCAAGCTGTTACTACTCCATAATCAGGAATTTCCACGTTGAGATAAAGGTACATATTTTAGAATTTCATGTTTTTTATTCTAGGTCCAAATTTCTTTTATTGATAATAATGTTATTATTCATATGTAGTATATGACTATATTATAAGGATAAGGGACTGAGTAGCTATGCATATACTTTAGCAAAATACCATTCACTAATATTGTGTAGCCATATTGGGTTCATATTGTAGTTACCCATTAGTTTCAGACATTAAGCTTTTTCATAGTATATGAATTTTGGTTTCATAGTTTCTTCCTGAGGGTATAAGTGGAGCACACATAACAATTTACAAAAAGTTCCCTCTTTTTCAGTGATGGAAGAACTCCCATCCCACCCCCAGTTATCTTCAGAGGGAGGGGAGAAGTGGGGCCCTCTCGGCCTGCCCTGATCTGGCACCACCGTGACTCACACCGGGGTACTGCCCTGTGGTTACTTTTCCCACGGTCCCTGCTCCCTGTGATTATTTAAGGTGAGTTTCCTGAGGCAATAATTTACTAGCTGCTCCCTTAGTGGGTGGAGTTCAAGGATTATCAGCATTATTTCAGGGTGGAGAATAGGGCCCTGTGTGGCATGTGTCAGCCCTGTAACATGAGGGGACAGAGCCACCGCTCCGTGGTGCCGTGTCCGCCATAGCTGCACGGTTGTCAAGTTCCATGTACTTGTGAAGTCTCTGACTGTAAGTTTGCGATGCCATTTGCTCCCACCGACTTTGGCTGACAGGGGACAATGTATATTTCTGGAAACCAGCTGAAGTGGCACTGCCCTGTGGCTGAAAAATAATCACAGTTTTCAACTTAGGTGGGCCACTAGCTTTAAAATTATGAGGTTCTTGAAGAATTTTAAAGTTGAGATGTTTCATATTATTTTAAATTTTGCAATAAACAGACTTCATTGACATTTAATGTTGTGCTGTTTCAAATAAAAAATTTCATTCTTCATAAAATTTAATCATACCTTATCTCAGCGATTTTCAACATTTTTCATCTCATGGCACATAAACAAATTACTAAAATTCTGTAGCACACCAAAAATATGTTATATTTTTTTGCTGATCTGACAAAAAATTGGTATAATTTTGATTCATTCACATTGAATGGCTATTGTTGTGTCAGGTGTTGTTATTTTTTACTGACAGTCTGCAGAAAAAGAGGCCAGCGCCCCTGACTAAATAGTCAGGTATTGCATGTTTTAAAATTTCCCGGTGCACAAATCATGCTCTAGTAGTTAAAAACTCCTGGAAAGCATGGACTCTTTCATTCACTCTTTTGGGCCTCTTGGTACCTAGGAGTATTGATGAATTAACCTGCTTCTTTAAATATCAGGGAGAGATTGGACATTATTTAACCTTAGGGCTCAGGATGACTTTAAGATTCCCGTATTTCTATGGACATCACTGCTTAGGGCCTGGAAAGAATAGGGTTCTGTTCACATCATCTTCCATATCACTAATTGTATTTAAATAAGAACATGGACTACAGGAAGGACAAACTATAATACTCTGGCATCTAGAATTTTAACATAAAACCAAATTCCACCATTGAAATCAAGTCTGATTGCTAAAAACATTAAACTAGGAGCCTTCTATAACATTAACTCTCGGCCTTTACAACTGATGTAAAGGCCTGATGTCATTAGAGTGACTGATCACAGGAAGTTTTGTTCAGAGCTCTCAGATGGCTGGGGAAAAGCTGCTCTGGAAACATGTCATTGATCGCTGTCCATTTGAACACTCACCCTAAACCAACGGGTGGAGATGGGCCATGGAAGGGGATAGTGCATAAGATTTTGGGGCCTTTGGAGATCAGCAAGATCAGGAAAAAGGGAACTGAACTTCATGTTGGCCTGAAGAAGGAAACTAACATTTTTTTTTAGAGGGACATTGTACTCATTTCTAGACTCCGTGTGAGGTGTTTTGTATGTGTAATCCTCAAAAAGTCCTTTGTGATAGGTAATATTATCCTTATTTGGCAGATGAGAACTGAGTTAATGTGGCCCTCAGTCTGTGCCTGTCCTACTCTGCCATGTACCTGTGGTGTCGCAGGCAGGGTGTGCCTCCAAACGGAGGGGCTGGCTGTGCCTCAGGAGTGGGTGGCGGTATGTCCTATACAGACCTTACATAAAGTCTTTCAGGTGATAAATTACCAAGCAGAGCCAAACCAGACCAAATCTCCACCCCCAGAGTCAACAGAAAAAACCACAACTGTACTGGTAAACATATGTGATGTTGTGATATGTTATAAGAAATATATATTTGTTCTTCCTGTTCTTGCCACAGAGCCCTTAAACCCTTGGAATTTCCTAAGTGGTGAGAGCATTAAAGGTGTCTTGTGTTTTGCTCATGAGATGACTTTTGGAAAGCACCAATGGATGGGGGTTGGTTGCCAGGGAAACCAACCAAGATTAGTGGGTTGGAACTTTCAGTCCTACCCTCTGATTTCTGGGGATGGGAAAGAGGGGCTGCAGGTTGAATCAATAACCAATGGTGGACAATTTAATCAAGCACGCTGGGGTAATGAAGCTGCCGTACAAACCCAAAAGGACAGAGACCTGGGTTGGTGAACATGTGGAGATTCGGGGGAAGTGGCTTGTGAGGAGAGAGCATGGAAGCTCCATACCCTTTCCCCATTCCCTGCCCTATGCATCTCTTCATCAGGCTGTTGCAGAGCTATATTCTTTTATAGTAAACCAGTGCTCTAGTAAGTAAAATGTTTCTCTGAGTTTGGTGAGCTGCTCTAGCAAATTAAACCCAGGGTGGGGGTGGGGCAGTCACTGGAACCTCTGATCAAAGCCCGTAGATCAGAAACATAGATGACAGCCTGGGCTTGCATCTGGTGTCTAAGTAGAGGGCAGTGTGTAGAATTGAATCCTTAACCTGTGGCATCTGATGCTCTCTCCAGAATTGTGTTGAACTGCAGGACACCCAGCTAGTGTGCAAGAATTGGTTGGTGTGTAAGCAGCCCTCCTCCGCGACAACACATCAAAATGATGAGCATGATCATTAGTATGGGAACATGAGGTAAGTGTCTGCCTCACAATTTGACTGAGGCTACAAAGAACTTCCTCAAACTGAGCAGTTTGCTATACCAAGGATCTTAACTCATCTGACAATCCAAGGACTTGGCCTCAGACCTAAGGCATTGACTTGTTTCTGCTTTTAACTGCTCTTGACCTCTCTAAGACTTAAGAACTGGGTTCCAGGTTCTGAAATTCAGTAAGCCCTTCTGTCCTAGAGCTGACGGCAAATGCAATTCCAAAGTCAACGTATTGAGAGCCTCTCCCTGCTCCCTTTCCAGCCACACACAGGATGCACACAGTGCACATACACAGTACACACAGACCTCTCAGAGGCTTAGGAAAAGCATGTTGTTTAATCACTGCATTAGCACATCTAAACCGTGAGGAGAAGTTTTTTTACCAGACTCTCATTTGTACATCTTTCATATGACTACCTCAAGTGTGTATCATTTAGCTAATGTGTTGTTAACTATCTTCTTAAAAAACATTTCCTTTTCTAAGTATTCTCAAATATTATGTGATCTTTTTGAGTTTACTTGTGTTCTTAGTCTAATGGTCACAATAAAAACATTTAATTTTTGTCCTCATTTTCTGATAATTATATAACAAAATAAAAAATCACCCCCAGGTTCTGAAGACTAATTTTTTTTTTTTGTATGGACAGCTTTAGGTCAAAGGTGTCCCCTTTCTGGGAAATGACTCAGTCATCATAAACCTTAATGACAGTGATTTGGTACACTCCAAGTGAGCTGGGATTAGGAACCACCTCCTTTTAGATGGCGCCTGGGAATACTGTCACGAGTAATGAACACATGGAATTGTCAGGATGATAGTGTGTTAACTGATAAGGCAGCCTTCTTGTCAGCAGTGTGCAACAAGCACCTGCTTATCTGTCAGCCTGAGCCGTAGAGGCCCCCTGCTCACCGGGAGTTCTTGGCCTCCACAGTTTAACATCATTTCATGAATTAATTTTCATAGCCTCTTCTGAAAGCCACTGTGAGGATGGTAGTTAATGTTACAAAGGATCTGAATACATTTCTCTCCTTGGAAACTCTAATTATCCCAAGAAACTTATCTATTTTCTGCTCTTGATTTCCTTCCAGTTATGTCTTCTTTTGGCTGCTACTGCTTGTATGTTGGGCTTTCTCTTGGTAATGGCTTTGTTACAGAACAAACAAGGGGGGGGGGGCCTGGGACAATATACTATTACTGAAAGAAACCCCCAGGTCTGTTATGTCCGCCATCTCTAGGAAAGATGTCTCTCAATGCCAGAGATTTGTGAAAAGGAAAGTAAATGTTTATTTAATGCTATACAGACTTAAAGTAGTGACCTAATGTCTTCATTAAAAATCCTAAAGTTCCTTAAAACACCCACAGACAGACACAGTCCTTCCTTCCCCCTTTGCCCAGTCCAGAGTACTGTATCTCAGGAGAGGAAATAGAAGTCCACGGCCCAGGCAGTCCTCTGGTTATTCCCAGTCAGTACTCCATCTTGACTGGGAGACCTCCCTGGGTTCCTGGCTCCCTCAGCTGTGTTGCCGGGATCTCTGCTAAAACTGGGTGGTAGTTCCCCCTTCTAAAGCTGCGGGGGTCCCCACTCTGGCAAAGGCACATGGTCCTCTCTCCCAGGGCCACGGGAGTCCCCATTCAGCCAAAACCGCATGCTTCTCCCTCAATGGCTGCCATGTCTGGGTTTAAATCCCCTCGCCAATCTTCCTCTGCAGCCCCATTTCTGACTCCTCCTACAATCGGCCTCACATGCCAGAACTCTGCTGTCCTTTGCAGCTTTTCTGGTTGCCATTGTGGGTCTGGGCAGATGTGACCCCATGTCATGGAACCAATCTTCTCTGAGCTCTCACGCAGGCGCTGTAACTCGGGGGACCTGCCCTCTAGTCACATCTTGTGGGGGAGGTCCCTTTCCATCCCCCCGGCCTTGAGCTTAGCCATAGCTATTTAGCATATCTAAGTGACCAGCCAAAGGCTATAGGTATGTTAAATGACCATGCCATGGATTAGCTGCAAAGCTGCCCTGCATGTTCTTGGTCTGTGTGCCCCTTCCCCCAACTCACACCTGTGGGGAAAGGGGTGAAGACACCTTAAAATCTCCCGGACACCTTGAGTTCTGGACCCCATTTCAAATGCCCATTCGGGGTCCCCACTCTTGGCTTTACCCTGTAACAGCTTCTTGGGTCATTTATAATGCCAGTGTAAGAAGGAACAGGGGAAGAAGGAAAAGCTAAAGAATGATGGCTGTGAGTGACAGAATGAGAATGTTTTCTGGAGACCACGCTATGACTGCCCACTGACCAATGACAGCCTACAGGTAGCCCACAGAAAGGATTCCCTATTCACTAGGACCCATTTAAACAGACCACTTTCTCCAATTGTCACCACTGTGCTTTTATCTCCTTACTAGTAAACATTCAAGCTGAGATTTGACCAGGACCTTCTGACTCAAGAGTCCATGCATTTAACCACCGCTACCTGGCACAATCTATTTGAAATGAGGAAGAAATCGCGGTTGTTCCTAAAGATAGCATAATCACCGCCGGCTAGTCATAGGCGTCTAAGTGTAATGTCAGAGCAGTGAGGAAGATAAACTCCGGAAACAGCTGAGTGGGAATTTGACCTTTGGCTGTATCATTTAGGACTCCTTGGGTTGTAAGTGAAGAGGATAACAAGTTTGTCTAAGCAAGTGAAGATTTTATTGGCTTGACATTTGGACCTTGGGAAGGCTGCTTGCTGATTAAGGAGGCCCAGGAATGACAGGAATCAGAAACTCGCAGCCAACAGGACTTCCTTTAGTCCTCGCTTCTCCCGTTTCCACCTCTGTCTGTGTGTTGGCTTTGTTCCCTTCTGTGGCGAGGGTCGCTTCAAACTCAGGTTCTAGCAGCTCTGCCACAGATGGGACGGGGTGCTTTCTGCCTCCGGCTTCATTTGGAAGCATTGTGGAGAAGGAGTTCGATTGCCAGCACCTTAGGTTCTGTGCCAATGCCTGTGGCCAGGGGAAGGGGTTCTGATTGGCTCAGGGTGGCTCAAGTGCGCACCCCTGTGGCCAAGGAAGGGGTGGAAACACAGCGGCTGGGAAATCGCCGAGAATTGGGTCCCACTCTATTACGTGCCCACTGATGCTGGAAAAGATAAGATTGTGTTTTTCAAGCAGTTATGCTAGAAGCCAGATTCCGTCTTCCACCAGTTGACCATAAAACTAGACTCATTGATTATCCTCTTTTCTATTTGGATAACAACAAAGCAAAACAGGCACTGGGGAGAGAGTCAGGAGGGTAATTTCCTGCCACCCCTCCTTTTGCCGGAGACTTGCAGCCCTTACCCCCAGAAGCCCCTCCACTCCACCACCCCTTCACAGGCTGTGTGATTCTTGAAAACTTCAGATAAAGAGAAAGTAGTTAATAGTCCCCCAAAGTTGGTGATTCCTCAGGTATGTCCTAAACAGTTATTCATTAGAGATCTTTTTTCTACTCCATTAAAAAGCATGAAACTGCTATAATATTTAGCATTTGAATTTCTTATACTTGATCACATGTTCTTTCCATTTAATCTTAGAAACGGTGTATATTAAGATTTGTTAAAATGAAAAAATTGTTTAATTGAGTATTGGGAATAGCCTTATTAGACAGAAAAAAAAGCCTCACTTATTGAAAAATTTTAATGATACTTGAGGAGAAAAAATGATTATGAAGAACTAAAAAAAGTAAACATTTGAATTTTGTAGGTTTTATTAGTCTGTCATTGGAAAATTTAAAGGAATCTATCAAAAATTATCAGAGGTAATATAAATTCTTCTAATTGTATACATAAAATAAATGTATAACATTTATTATTTTACATGAGCATGCCATAATGCTAAACTATTCAATGATAACGAAAGTTCCTTTTTTGTATAACTATCAGATAACTGAGAATTAACTCAGGACACATGACATTTAAGAAAATCATAAAATCCTCACATGAAAAATAAAATAGGACAATAATAAGTGGACAGGTATGTAATATTCGCAGTTGAGAATATAAGGATGATAATCATTCCTAACTAAATATAATACATACATTTATGCATCATTGATGCACTATCAATGTAAGTTATAACAAAATAGAAAATAGAACTCGACAATTTGATAGTTACCTAGAGGACTAAAGGACTCGATATGCATTTACAAATATGTATACATCTACATGACATTGTTCTATCATATTTGCAACATTTTAGAAAGTAATGAAAGCCAGAACATTATAGTACTGGGTTAAAAAGCTAAATTGCCCAGGAAAGTCTACTTTATTGTTCATAAATTCTAGAATCAATCTATGACAAAACAGACGCAATGTGACACACTGAGGGGTAATTCTGCCCTCACCTCACCTCTCTGCCTCCCTGCCTCCAGGTCTAAGCTTCTTCTATGCCCTTGGCTAAGTGGACTCAGGGTCTGCTAGGTCTCTCTTCTCTACACACACACACACACACACGAAGGTGCAGCTCACTGCATTGCCATACCTTGCACCTGGCTAGAGTGTGCTATTGTCTCAGGTTTTGGGTTCAGGCTTTTAGCTGGGAAGCCCAAGTTGTATGCTCTAGCCTAGATTCATCACAGGGATATACTGGGACACCTGCCACTAACTCAGTTCTATCATAATGGTACTTTCATCTTGGTCGGATGGCTCAGTTGGTTGGAGTGTTGTCATGTACACCAAAAGGTTGTGGGTTCCATTCTTGCTCAGGGCATATACCTAGGTTGTGGGTTTGATCCCCAGTCAGGGCACATGTGGGAGGCAACTGGTCAATGTTCCTCTCTCTCTTTCTTAAATCAATAAATATATCTTTGGGTGAGGATTTAAAAAGTTTTTTTAAAGGTATTTTCTTACTTGCTATTTTTTTGTAGCAAGTTCCTTGGGAGCCCAAGGTTGAAGGGAAGGCTTAGATGAACATGGCTGACAGAGGTGGATTTGGGAATTCTAGCAGAGTAGAATGGTGGTGGCAAAGGGTGT